TGCTTCGCAGAAAGAGGAGACAGCTTCCCAGTTCCTCTCACTACGAACCATGGCGTCGACTAGGGCCGGGCGCGAGAGGTCGCCGCCGCCGATCACTACCCCGAGGACACGGCGGTGCTCAACCCAAGCAGGGCACACCGCCACCGTATCCTCTAGGTGGTCCTTACAATGACGACACTTGGGCGTTTCCTCCAGCTGGATACGAAACAGGAACCTACCGAAGCTGCCCCGGCTTGGAGCAGGAGAAGGAACGGGATGGTTGTTTGTCGTTGAGAGTCTGATTCTCCTTCTTGCCTCACCCAAGAGATTTATCCCCGTCCAAAAAAGCCCTGAAACTTAATTGAGAATATTTCCGAGAAAGAAAAAGATAAAAGTAGCGCATAACTGCTCCTAACTTAAAGAATATTTCGAAAATGTATTTATTTTTGTCTTTAGTCCTAATATTGCATTATGATAGTTAGTTAGCGATAAGTCAGTACTACAAGAATTAATTTGGTAAAATGGTGCCAAAATGCAAATTCAGTAATGTTCCTATACAATGGGCCTATTTCTTACCGCCAGAAGATTCGTATGTTTCTTTAATCTCAATCTCATACATGACATATAGTTTTGTCCTGGTTTTTAGAACTGGAAGTACATATATTAGGTTAGTCTCTAAAGTAATTCTCAGTTAAAACCTGTTGACCTAATTTCAAGTTTAATTACAGTAAAATAAATCTTCTAGGATTAAGTACTGGGCGACCGGTATTGCTTTTTAGATCCCCCGTGGGCGTGGTTGATTAAAATGGAAGTGATTTGTTTTATCAGCCTAAAACAAAATATTTAAAAGGTTTTGTATTGCAAATCCCGAAATAGAATAATAAGTATGTTAGCTTTTTTTGAGGAGGGTACATGACTTTTTGTCCTAGAAGGGGGGTGGGTAGAGGGAGAGTGTCAGACTCTTATTTCCTTTAAACCATCCTGTTCCTACTCCTGCTCCAGGACGGAGTCTTGGTAGATTATTGTGCCTGACCCGTAATCCCGCCTGAACAACGGATGGACCAACAATGGAGTTTCTTGCTCGCTCTTCTCCATTCGAATCTACAATTTGGAATGAGCACCTAGCTTCACTGACGAACTGACTGACAGACTACTTTTCTATTTTGACGTTTCAAAAGTACCTATTTATGGTTTAGTTGGAATAAATGATTTTGACTTTGACAACAAGTATGGCGTCACAAAATATGACGCATTCGTTTCTAGCCTTAATAAAAAAAAACTACGTTTAAAAAAACCGACTTCAAAAACAAAAAAGTGTCAAATAAGTAATTAAAATTGATATTTTAATAGCACTCTTACGTACGCGAAGCTAATACTTTTACTATTAATAATAAAACACTATCAATTCTATGTGCTACCTGTTCATAGGTTTGAACTCGGTGCCAAGCCTAATACATAATATAATAAGCATGAGTACCTAAACTCGCCGGGCGCGTTTGAATTTATTTGTTAGGATTTAAGAAATTTAGTACCGATTTTCTAACTTGATGGCGTTATCGTAGAATCAGAAGTCTATATGGTTTCGTTACCGGCGAAACTGTATATAGCTTAGAAAGATATTTGGATGAATTATGAATTCTAAAAGTTTTCTCGTACTTGGTTGTTCAAAGTAGTAGAAGGTAGCAGCGTTGTTAGTTGTGGAAATTTCGTCTTTTAGCAGTTAAACAGTCTTAATTCTCATTTAGTTTTATTCTGTTTAGGGCTCGGCACCGACTTCAAACCTATGAATAGGTAGCACATAGAATTGATAGTGTTTTATTATTAATAGTAAAAGTATAGCTTCGCGTACGTAAGAGTGCTATTAAAATATCAATTTTAATTACTTATTTGACACTTTTTTGTTTTTGAAGTCGGTTTTTTTAAACGTAGTTTTTTTTTTATTTTTTTCTTTTTAGTTTTTGTTGCAAGTTCTTCTGTAAACTACAGTAATATTTTTAATATAAATTAACATATTGAATAGTATATATTTTTAAGTAGCTATGTGTAGGCCAACGAAAGGAGCCGCTCGATTAAAAAACATAGATCCCAAGAAATGGGAAAGTTCTCGTCATCATCATCATCATCATCATCATCATCATCATCAGCCATTTTAATGTTCCCACAGGAGAAGTGTTCTCTAGGAGAGGGAAAGTTCTTAACAATATAAATAAATTAAGTCCAAACACGAGGTAGCTACTGTAAACCGTTGAGGAGTTCCCTAGACTGTCGTTCGTTTTCATCATCAGATCCCTAATGACAGTCACAATCCATCAAGGTGTAAAGTTCTCATACGAATAAATCAAATCAAAACGAATAAATTAAGCTCAAACACAAGGAAGCTGCTATGAATTGTTGAGGAGTTCTCTCGGCTGTCTCTCGTTTCCATCCGGAATTCCCTCGACGGTCAATTGTCAACATCATCAGGTAAACTGCAGACCTTCAGTTGGTATGATACATACCTACAGGTACAAAGTTTTCATCAATATAAATGAATTAAGTTCAAACACGAAGTAGTTACTGTAAACCGTTCAGGAGTTCCCTGAGCTGTCCTTCGTTCTCATCATCAGACCCTTAATGACAGTTACGACCAAGCCTGCTGCAAAGTGCTCGCCAATACGAATCATTCAAGCCCAAACACAAGGCAATTACTCCAAATAGTCAAGGAGATCCCTCGACTGTCTTCCGGCTCCAACATCTGGTCGACTTCGACCTTCGTCAAGTTGTAGTGTTGTTAAAGGCCTACTTTAACATTATACAAAAAACCTACTCGCCCCTACAATTTTCGAAAGTTTCCCTCGGTTTCTCCAGGTTTCCATCATCAGATCCTGACCTCATGACAATGGGACCAAATGGCAAGTATACCCTATCGAATAAAAAAAGAATTTTGCAAATCGGTCCAGGCGTCTTCGAGTAATCGGTGTACATACATAAAAAAAAAAAAAAAAAAAATACGCGTCGAATTGAGAACCTCCTCCTTTTTTGAAGTCGGTTAAAAATATATTCGGTCGAATTGAGAATCTCCCTCAAAGTTTTGGAAGTCAGTTAAAAACAATAATTATGTGAACTCTTTATCATTACCAAACCCCACATTCAGTATTCTTTTATTCAAACAAATAAAATGTAGTGGAATTTTCCAACTATAAAACTAAAATCAATTTTCATTTGATATTTATCAAGCATACCACATAACACACACATACAATAGCTACCTACACCACAATACAAGTTCATTGAAGAAATTAATAGTAGCGATCGCACTTCAATATTGCCTGGTTGAGTTCGTTGTGGATCAACCACAACTCATTCCGACGATAAACCTTCTATGAGTCAGTGTCACACCATCGCGTCTACGTATCTGTTGACGTCATGTAGCTCGTCGTGCCCAAACGATGTAAATGTTAAGCGTTCCTAATGTTGTTTCCAGTTATATGACGTACAGAATTAAGATGTTTGTGCTAACTGTACTATGGACAGCTGGACACTCTCGTTTTCTAATGTTTTGTTAACTATCTTTGTTGACGCAATGCGAATTGCACGATCGATGCTAGACCAGGGGCCATGTCTACTATTTTCAAAGTGTTGTCATTCCTACACTATTCCATTGACATTTTGCTAAAAGTTCGTAATCTGCTAATTCAAAATGGCTGATCATTGGCGTTCGGCGATGTCGTAATATAATTATAGTACGAGATGTCTTGTAACGAATTATAAACAACAACAGCACATTAATATTCTAAACGTAAATCATTGAATAAAGGAACAGACATTTTTTTTATTAATTTACCGCATTATGTCAAATATTCATTTGTTATTATGTACGAGATTACCGTTCTAAAGAATTATTTCAATGAAGTGGCATTGGTTGATCATTGGAAAGTCATAATGACGCTATCGTGTTTGTAGATTACCAAACTAGTCAAAATCAAGAATATTACCAAACTAGTCAAAATCAACAATATTGAAACCAATGATCTAAACTATTCTGACACTATTGTAATAGCAGACTCGAGGCCCAGATCAGAGGTGTTTCAATTCTTCCAATAAGTGTTGGCATTGAATCTGATTGAATAAGGAATGATTCTTTTTAACGTAGCATTCAATTAGATGTAACAGGTTAAAAAAGTTAATCGGCTATTGGGTTCTTTTTTAATCTGTGGAGGCTCTTTAATTTTTATCCCTCACTTGTATTTCGAAAAGCAAAAATCTTGAATACAGTCTTTGGTCCTTTTAAAGATACAGATATTTGCTTCGATACAATATTCCCAAGAGGGTCCTTATGAGGATATAAGGATTCACACTTGATTGATAACAACTATACTGACCTTTGCAGTACCTACGTACTCAAGAGGGTGCGGGTTGTTATATTTTGCTAGATTTATTTTCTATAATCAATTTTGTATAAAAGTATAAATGAAAGTATAATGCTATCTGTTTTGTATCTATGTTAATATTACGAAGCCGAAGAAACTTGAACGCGCTGATCTCCAGAAGTACTGCTTCGAAATGAACAATACGTTTTGTGTTGGATAGTTCATTTTTCGAGGAAGGCTATAGTTTTCGAGCTTTAAAGCGATTGTTACCAGTTGTATTAGGCTACGTTTTGCATTTCGCAAACACACTTTATTTGCACTGCGACTAATTACCAAAAACCACAAAGTAACTGGTGCCTCTAAGTCTGTTATACCGTTGAATTTCATAAACTTTCGTCCACCTTGCTATGATATAGGTTTTTATGCAAAACAGCAGCTAGATTTCATTATGGTGAGCAATTGGAGTCGCCCATGAACATCCGCGACTCCAGAAGAGTTACGAGTGCATTGCCGGACTTTTGGGGTTTATGGTTTCGGAAATTTGGGGATTGGGGAGGGATTGGATGAGGAGAGGAACGATTGGGCCTCACTTACATGGCGAAAACCAACGTTGTAGTTGTATCAGCAGCTTGTTCTGTGAGGATAAGTTTAATAATGGTGTGCTTGTTACAGACGAAACATCGTGCGGCGATGGGCATGCTGGCAGTTTGCAATGCGGGCTCTCTGGCAGCCGCAACCAACCTAGTCATCTCATTAAACCCTGAAGACAAGTAAGTACTTAGACTTGTTCTAGCTTACATACTATTTTGAGAAGTAAAGCGACATTCCATTTCTTTGAAATTCCAAAAAGTCTTTGCTTTGATCGCCCAAAGAAATTGTATTAAGAGTTGACCTGTCAAAAGTATTGGATAGGTAAAAAGTCTTCGAAATAGAGATCCCGATAAAAATACAATCGCAGAAAATTCAATGACTAGGTCGTAAAAAGGCGCTTTTTCAAATCAATGCCTTTGAAGTTTCTCATGTCTAAAGATTCGATTTTTCAACCCCAATCCTTTCCCCTATCGTTAATGATCTATCCCTAAATTCCGTAATACCAATAACCCTCAGAAGGTCTGCAACGCATTTGTAGTCACATAATTTTGGGTATTACAAATGAATGCTCGTTTGCCGACTCATTACATAAAAAAATAACATGGCTAATAATTAAATAGGTATTTATCTTATATCTTCTAAGTAATTCAAAAAGCAGGTTTACAACATCTTTATACTAATTGTCTATATTTATATTCCCTCTCATGGTGTTAATTAATTCTAACTGTATTAAGTAGCGATTGACCTTGCACAGTCACGTTCAAGTGCTTATGTAATGCCGCAGTTAATACCCTAATAATTCATGTTTATTTATGTTTACTGATTTACTTACGTAATTATTTAGTTTCGTTTGTAAATGTAATACTTTTTCCCTTCATATATTTTTATAATGTAATAGAATGGCTAACGAGCAGACGAATTACTGAATGGTAAGCAATCAGTGCCGCCCATGGACAACTGCAACAACGGAAGAGTTACGAGTGCGTTGCCCAACTTTTGGGGATTAGAGATTTAGGGATTGAGGAAGGGGAAGGATTGGGTCTCCAGGAAACCTCAGTCACACGGCGAAATACAACTTAAGTGCTGCTTTACGGCAGTTTTCTGTGAGGCCGTGGTATCACTCCGGCCGAGCCGGCCCATTCGTGCCGATGCATGGCTCTCCCAAACTTTAAACAATTAAAGATAGAACTACATACATACAATCCTACAAACTTTTACTTTATAATATTGAAGTAGAATAGGAAGCAAGATTAGAGATGCTCTATAAATGTTAGTCTAACCGCATTGCAGAGAAATCTAGAGAATGAGGGATCCTACTTTCGATCACTAGATTGGGTAGCTTACTATAAAGTATATGCAAAAAGTATTTCGTACTATGATTAACCAGACTTGTTAGAATATCATAAAATCATAACATGGCAAATCGTGCCGTCTTTTATTCCTAGAAATAGAATGTTAGATAAATATCATTTCAGTCTATCCGATGGATTATTTTGACGTATTTTTTATGTAAAAATTGTTTTAGCTAGTCTACAGTACAGAAAACAGTACTAAATAGACAGTCTTCTTTTTATTTACATAATTCACCTCCAAATATCTAAACTACTATATAAATGACTTTTCTTGCTCGTTCTTCTCCGTCGGAATCTACACTTTGGAACGAGCAAATAGCTTCACTAAGAGGACTGACCGACAGACTGACACTATATCTTCAAATTTGTGTTTGACGTTTAAATGTGCCTGTAAGGCTCTAATTGGAATAAATGATTTTTGACTTTGACTTTGACTAGGATATATTTATCCTGGCAACAATACAATACTTCTGATTTCAGTATACCTATATTCCCGTAGTTCGATTTTCAAATAATCTAAATTAATCCAAGTCACGGTCATCCGTCGTCCCGTTACCAGAATATTTATTTAGTATTTTATATAAAGTGGATTAATAAAGGCGTTATCTCATTGTCACGTGGTTCTTACGTGGAGGAAAAATCATCAAATGACTTCTCTCGCCGGGAGTATCAGACTCTCACTGACTTAAAACCACCCTGTACCTTCTGCTCCAAGCCGAGGTCGCGGTACATTATTAGTATTACGCTTGAAATGCAAGCCAGGCATTTTCACGTGGCTTATTTGTTTAATTTTCAGTTTTTCTTTAGATTGTGGTCATTTGAGACACAAAAGAAAGGCAATAGGTACGCGAACGCCGGCGTCCGCTTGAGGTTTGATAAATTATACGCGTGGCCAACAAAAACATTCGTGGTTTAGTTTATTAATATTAATACCCATAAAAACACATATCTCAAACGTGTTATGGAGTCTCCTGTAATGAGAGGTAGTTACTAAAGACTGCGACATTATAACTTTCGCAACATGGCTGTGCAAAATTATGTATATATGACACATCTGGCGTTTTGTGGACCCTTCCAAGGAGTGTAGCGTGATTATATTAATGTAAATGGGCAGGAAGCTAACTGGCAGCGAGTGCGTCGAATGCGTAAGCTGGGTGGTAAGGGTCACGCGAGTGACGTCATAGCTAACGGACTCACTGACAGTTCCGTGAGGGAGCACCAAGGACGATGTCATTATACGTTTATCTTTTATATTAAGTTCACATTAAGTTCGGCACGAATGCGTTGGCTCGACCGGAGTGATACCTCGGCCTAACGGAAAATCGGCCTGAGACAACCAGAGTATTGTGTTCCGCCGCGTCAGTGAGGTTACTGAAGGCCCAATCGGAAAGGATTGGGTCCATGGGCCTTGCGGACCATGGGCGGTACATAGGCATACCTGATTGTAATGCCGCACAGTGTCCGGCGTAGAACAAGCCAGGTGGACAAAAATATTTTTTCATGGTTTTGCAACTAGACCTACTGATTAGTTAATTATGTATTACTATAACATATTTTTTAAAAACAAAATGCGTTGGATTTGTATTTAAATATTTTATTTCATATATACACAATGATAATACACGAAAACAGAAAAAAAAATATCTAAATCGCTATAAATATTAACACTAATTATATATACACAACCTTAGACTTAACATATTATGTACAAAAAATATAAATCTTAATTTAAAGTTTTCTATTTACATTAAAACTAAGTCTCAATACCAGAAACATCGGATTCTGAATCATATTATGTACAAAAATTATAAATCTAACTCTAAAGGTATCTATTTACATTAAAACTAAGTCTCAATATCAGAATCATCGGATTCACAATCCGATGATTCCGAGACAAGATAATCTTCCTCATTTTGTGGAGGCCTTGATGGAATTTGAGGACGAGGCTCTATGGTGGGAGCTATGATGAGCTTTAAGACCTCCGCGCACAATTTATTCGATTTTTTTTTTGGTACTTCCCGGAGGCTATTGATCAGAGGATCAGATGTTATAATCAACATGTTGAGCAAGTCTCTATTCGTGGCAAGTCGAGAGCACTTTCTGGTGTTATGCTCTCTAAACCTCCGACAATCTTTATTTCTTGCTTCTTGGGCTTCTTCTGAAAAGCTGCCCTATTGGAACTATTGCCGTCTTAACTACTTCTGTGCTATGAATTAACAATTTATGCACAGTAGCAGGCATGTAGTACCACGAATAGAGACTTAGATAAAGTCTTCTTGTCTCGAGACAAAGCTTGTTGAATTCAACAAGATTTATCTCGAAACCAGAAGACAATGTTCTCAACAATACATCAAAGTTTTTAATGATTGTAACATCCAATCCTGTGATCCGAGCACTCAGTTCAGGGTTCCCAAAAAACGTCGAGCTGTGTTTCCATCGTTTGTGGAACCAAATCCAGGCTTTGGCTTGTCCACAATTAATCCCATTTCATGCTTAAATCGTTGTTTGATTTCGTCTGATCGTTGTTTTACACTTGCTTTTTCCTGGGAAGACCTAGCTTGCCATTTTTTTATATCCAACTTATAACTAATGTGTAAAAAGCACTCAAACGAACGAATCCAAGCATGTAATGTTGACAAACCAAAGCCAAAATTGTCCTGATTACTGTCAAAATGCCTTCCTTCATCATTCATCATTGTGGGAGTAGCCCCGCAAATATAGCATTTTTGCGATGAATGAGTCTCTGTCAAAGCATTGCACACTTTTCCATCGGTCATTGTCAACAATAACTTGTGCTTAACAGAAATTTCAGAACCAGCAAGATCACAAGATGTAGGCTCTAAGTTGTTTATTTGTTCCAAACCTTATTTGTCTCGATTTTTGTCATTTCCATAGTTTCTTTAACAAAAATGAATTTGATTGGACGACAAAAAATAGTGGATGATGGACGAGGATTTTGCCAGATAATGTTGTTACCTTCGTCAATTAACCTCAAAGGAACAAACGAATAAACAAAAAGAAACTCATCAGTGTCTTCGCTATTCTCAAATCTCTGTTTGTAAGCACTATGACCGGAACTTCCGTCACACCCCCATTTACTTATAAGAGTAAACGATGAATTGGGGCTTATATTTGGAAGCACACTTGTGACGACTTCTCTCTGAGCTTCGATTAAGCGTTCTGCTGTTTTATTCAAAATAGCTTGAAGCTCAATTTCTGCTCGAGATTGTGTCACAACAATGTGCTCCTCAGAAGGATAACACCCTTTTTTTGCCTTGACAATGCATTCATATGATGGAAACACATGATGCCCGACTTTCATAGTCCACTTCCTAGTCTGTTTGTATGAGTGAGTTGTTGATTTGGAATCAATATAATACGCTAATGCCTCGTCATTACTTAGCGGTCTATCTCTTTGCACAGCACTTGTTTGTTGAATGTTCAAGCACGCACTTGCGGAAGCTGGATTTTCACCAATGTCTTTAATAACTCTGGCAACGTTTTTTTGTCCAGTTGACCGTGCAGCTACCTCTGCGGCAGTCATTAGTTCCCCAACACTACGCGATTGTACTAAATCTTCAACTCTACGTTTTTTGGTCTTAAAAGACGCATCTTCAAAGTCTTTTCTAGGCCTTCCGGGCCGAGAAAGTTCAGCGGTTGAGGTAGAAGGTTGCGGTAGAGTCGATCGTACACAAAATTCTATCTCCTGGCCTTCCAGCCACAACTTATTCTTATTAAGGAAACGCTCTTTTGATTTTCCTGAAGACACCCATCTAGTTGCAATTTTTGAAGAAATGCTGGCTAATTTCATCTTAATTTCCCTTTCG